TGTTATCATCCCTATTACCTATTCCAACTAGTCAAATTCAATACTTTTATCGAACTGTCAAAAACGACAGTTTTCTATGAATTTTGTACGAGTTTGTGTATTGTGACGTCACGTGTTTTAGCCTCAAACAGCGTACTTATTGCTTAAACATTTGTTGGTAAAATACAAAAATTAAGTTGATCATAAAATCAATTAAACTGTCAAACACCAAGCGGTCACCGGTGACCGCAACCTATTGTTCTATAATTGTGTCTACAAAACCGGTACTCGACGAGTTAATGAAAGTGTGATTATTTTTTAATATTTTATTGTATTGAACAGTCGAAATAATTTGGAAAGTACCGAATTAGGCCCAATTATTTTATCGCAGAAATAATTTTGTCATTATTGACAATTCTTCCATACAAAATTGTAAGTGTGGGAGAGCCATGCTTCGGCACGAATGGACCGGCTCGACTGGAGTGATAGTACGGCCGAGCAGAAAACCGACGTGAAGCAACGCTTGCGTTGTGTTTCATCGTGTGACGATTACCGGAGGCCCAGTTACCCCCCTTCCCCGAATCCTCAAACTCCTAATCCCCAAAAGGCCGGTAACGCACTTGTAACGCCTCTGTTGTTCCAAGTGTCCATGGGCGACGTCGATTGCTTACCATCAGGTGATCCGTCTCCTCGTTTACCGGCTTATGCAATAAAAAAAATGTGTCAGACGTCAATTTTATTATATGCATAAAAATTATATGTGGATAGAAAAACAACCCTATCCCTATCTAAGCGCGGGACGATCTCCGGCCACCGTAAGCACGGGACTGCTTGGCGAGCATGGGTGGCTCCCCGTCCGACCAGAAACAAACCCGAGCGTATGGCGCGTCGCGTTCCGCGCGCGCCTCAAAGAGACATCAGACCACCACAGATGGGGCCCAATAGGGCTGTTGCCGATTCGGAGTCGCGGAGAACCTAACGGGTAACCGGGGCTCCGGCTCGACGTGCAGGAGTAGGAACGGGGTGGTTTTTAGTCAGTAAGAGTCTGACACTCCGTCCCGCCTCACCCTGGCGGGATCAGTTATTCGAATAATTTTCCCCCCTTAAAAAATCCCTATTGCACTTATTGACGTCAAACAGAATATAAAACGTGTCCAGTCGGTTAGTCCTCCTGATGCCCCCCAAAACCGCTGCGACTCCTACCCACAAGTATCAACAGTTGACAATCATGCCAAACAATGAAACATTGACGGCTGGCGCGTCTCAGGGACATGAGCACGCTCTGACTGGATTCCAGACTGTGGCAGATAAGAATAAGAATAAGAATAATTTATTTAGCAAAACAAAGGTCAAGTATACCTATTATTTAACAGAAAGCGATAATGAATACATAGAAATCACAATCACAATTGCAAGGTAGACCAAAAAATACTAGTTTATAATGTATACATACAAGTTAACATAAGCAGTGGCATTTCTGTAGTATCAATAATACACAGCAACAGCAATCCTATAATACACCTTGCAAACAAAAGTAATTTAACTCAGTAATTCACAAGACAATAAGTTTGATACCAAAAGTGTAATAAATGTCCACAGACGGTATACGTAGATTTTTTACTTTACCTCCCGTGCTAGTCAAAGACTGTGTTACGGCAAGGTAAGATTCTCGCTCGAACGATTTATTTTCAATCATGTAACGTAGAACATAAAGTACCCTTTTGCTTACAGCTTTGATTTTTCAACTACTAATAATTTTATAATAAGTAACAGCCACAAAGTATGAACAAATAGTACATGCAAAACTTTTAGACAAAAAATCTGGTGCGAAAAATTTAACT